GTATGAAGCATGCAGGGAATACTTGAGGGAGGGGCTGTACAAGGTAGGTCCCCAGGTGGCCTTACACTTCACCTCAGACATCTGGATCATGTCTACCTCTCCCTCGCAGGGCACTGGTGTGAAAAGTCAGGCCGTCGGTGGGCCCTCCTTCAAGCAGAGGTGATGCATGAGTGCCACACAGCAACAGAGATCATGGGGGCCATTACCCACATGATACAGGGGTGGCTCGTTGGGCAGGGCAAGCTTACCTGCGGGTTCATGATCACCGACAATGGAGCCAATATGGTCAAGGTAGTGCATGATGCCAATTTTGTTGGCATCTGCTGTGTGGCACACAAGTTCCACCTCATAGTCAGGCACACCTTGGAGGGGGACAGGGCTGCCAGTGAGGGCAATGTCACAACCAGCCAGCTCATTTCCAAATGTAGGAAGGGGGCAGGCTGCTTCCACCAGAGCATCAGGACAAACAGGAAGAGCTGAGCATCCCGCAGCACAAAATCGTGCAGGATGTGGAGGCTTGGTGGAACTCCACAAACCTAATGCTTAAAAGACTGGTGGAGCAACAGAAGACCATCCATGAGATGGCCTTGCTTGGGGAGATTGGGATCAGTGGCCCTTTAACAAAACAGAGTGGGATGGAGAAGTCAGAGGCAGAATGAAATGGAGAAGTTCCAAGGGATCAACGTTCCTGGCTGGGGCAAGCCACTGTCACCAGAGGTGCAGGCACTGGTGAAGTGGCTGAAGGAGGGCATCAAGAAATATATGGATCCATTGCAGTCCAGTACGGTCCACGTACTGGCAGGCATGTGTGACGAGAGGGTGAAGGGGAGCATCTGCAGCAGTAAAACCCTGGATCACTAAATGGAGGTGCTGGTGAACAGAGTTAGGGAGGCATAAGGGCAGAGCCGGGGAGACATGGAAGAAGGGGATCCACTTTCCCGTGCCAACACTCCATCCACCAGCCAGTCTGCTCCACCACAGGTGCTGCCAGTGTAGGTCAAGGACATGGCTTCCATGTTGGGGTCCAGAGGCACCAGACCCCAGCATTGGCCAGGTAGCACCATGGCCTCGGTTCCTACCTATCTTGCCGAGGACATGAAGCCTCTGCTCTGCGACCCCTTGGCCTTCTGGGCAAGCCGCAGCCAGATGTGACATAACTATGTAGCCAGTGAACAGTATATGGGAGTACCCTGTGGGATGTAGAGGTTGTACTTAAAGAAGGATGTATCTCAAGCATTGACCAGCAGCAAAAAGACAAATTTGCAAAGCTGTAAAGATTAGCACTAAGCATAATTTTTCAAAAGTACTCAGAACCTCTTTGAAAATCCCAGTGTTGCCTTTTATGCATCTTACCATACCTATGTACTTTTAAAACTCTGGTTGTTAAATGTCTGTTGCCTCAGATAAGGAAAGAGGAATTATGAAGGGGGCATTGATCTCCCAAGCACTTTGTGCCCATTGAAAAATAACCTCTCACAGTGGAACAACAGATATATTGAGTTGGTTTGGGCCTTCTGTTTTTGGGTGGAGGAAGCCCAGAGCCCCTAAGAAGTAGGAAAAGGAAGTCAGCCACAGCTCTTAAGCATCTCTCTAGATCTTGCAGCAGCTTAGTGTATGATTTTTATAAGTCAACCTCTTCATGTGGTAAGAAGTCAGAGCAAAATGGAGAGCTACCAATTCTCCAAGGTACTCCAATGTAAGTGGCAGTGTACAGTAAATCGCTGTCTGAAGAGGGTTTAAGAACAGCAGTCACTCTAGTATGCTGGCATGGGAAAGCTGCAAAGTAAAAGGAAGGTCTGCACAGATTTTATGATATCAAAAAGTTTATAGAATTCAGTGCTCAGGCAGATTTTGTCAGGAAGTTTATGCAAGATGTGATGTAGAGACCTTTTGCTAAAGCTTTGTACAGAACTAAATTTCCTCCTTGCCTCCTAACACCCAGCAGTCAGTGTCAATTTTCTCCCTGTTTCAGGTTCTGCGAGAGTACAGTGTCAACCTATCTGAAGAAGAGTTTTTCCACATTTTGGAATTTTATGATAAAGCCTTAACATCAAAAGTATCCTATAATGATTTCCTTCGGGCATTCCTACAGTAGAAAATGGAAGGGGTCATCAAGTGCAAGAAACTGCAGCTAACAGAGATAGTAGCTGATTTATACAGTTTGATTGCCAATCAATAAATTAATTGAGCATGTCCCTTTTTTGCCTCTATTCATTAGCAAGCTTCAAATACTTATGGCTCTGGCAAATACAGCTTTTGTGGTTTGTGGATTAAATCTATATGTTAGGGCTATTAATTTTCATATAATCCATTTATCCAAGAAAAACTACAACAATTAAAGATGTTATAGTAATGATTCCTAAGACCTTTGAGGCATGTCTGAATGCAATACATTTAAATAACATGTTTTTCTAATTAAAACATATTATTAATAAAATACTCTTTGTAACTTCAGTATTAAGGTGTAAAAGGCATACTATTCAATTTTATCAATTTAAGTATTATATGATTTGTCATTAGAAATCTGTCTGTTTTACTGACTGTTTTCTTTTTCCTCCTGCTTCTCCACATAGCTGTAATAATTATGTTGCTAGTAGTTTTGCACAAGGACATGAAATGTACCATGCCACACTCTGAAAAGATACTGCCTATGCCTTCACAGCATGTCATCATCTTCCAATACATTTTCCCTCCACCATTTGATTTAAATACCAAAGAAAGTTGAAAATAAAATTAGAAGCTAATTTTCCATTTGCTATTGTATTTCTCATTGAAATTTTGGAAGCATATTCCACAAACTTGCATCTCCTAATATGAACTTTGTGGTTGACCTTTTCAAGGGCCATTTTTAAAATAATGTACAAAACACTACAAGTAAAATCTCAGTTAGATATATTGATATTATAAAAATGAATTGTTTAATTTCCTTGTGAGATATTTAGATCTTAGCAGGGAAATTGAAAGAATAATTTTCATTGCTGACCTTTATTGTTACCAGATTTGCCCATCACTTTGATAGAATTACAAAGACCCTAGAAACATATCCCTAATAAATGAGCACACACAATGTGCTGCTTGTGTTACTTGTGTTTCTATATAGAGCTGTATCTCTCCCTTCTGCAAGTCCTCACCTGCAATGGAGCTATCTTGCAGGATTCAGTTTCAGTGGGGCTGGGTTCTTCCAGCCATCAAATCAGTCAAATGCACACACACAGATTAATGTGACATGCCTGACCTGGCCGGGTTGATCAGCATGTACAGGCTGACACCCTCATATGCCAGGAATCTGTTCATTAAGGAAAATGCAGTAAGACACCAGCACACAGGTGAACAGAATATCTATGAATCTAGCTGGGTGTCCAGCTGACACCCTCATGTGCCAGCATTGAGTTCATTAGGACATGTCTGAGCCAAACTGGGTCAATCAGCCTATACAAGCTGATCCCCTTATGTGTCTCAAACTCAGCACATCCCAATCTTTTGCTCTAACTCTCCTAGTAGTGGTAGCCTCTTGATGAGCGGACCCCACAGTATTTCTGGGCTTCAGAGGGATCTTTGGCTTAGGTAAAAAAAGCGTTGCTGCAGAGCAAGTGGGGAAGGGACGTAGAGAAGGAAAAGTATACCCAGTTACCACCAGTTTGACTATAAAAGTTATTTATTGATAAGTATATGAAATTTATAATGGTATGAGTAGTAATAGACATGCAAGGAAAAACAAACAAAACAATTACAATATTACCCTGGTTTAATTGAGTAGTTGGGGAAACTTAGCTCATGCTTAGATAATACAATTTAGGTTCAGAAAGCTATACCTAGAGAGAAAAGGAAAAAGAGAGAGAGAAAGAGAGAGAGCAAGAGCTGGGATCTCACCATTCCCAGGCACTCAGGTGATTTGTTGACAAGCAAAGTTTCTAACACAATCGTTGAAGGGAGATGATCTGTTTTTCCCGTCTTCTTGATAACAACAGCGGATGGTGTCAGAGAGATTTCTCTCTCTTGAAGCACACTTTTGCTCCTTTACAGCTTTCTTATACCCTTAGTCTAGCCTCTTCAAACCATTCTTTTAATTGTGTAAATCAAGAGGGTCCCAAGCCATAATTGACAGGGAAAATCCTGTTATATAAACAGTTTAAATTTAAATGAATTACCTTTTTCAGTGATAAGGGGTTATCTGGTTTGGAACATCTCAAGAAACTAACAACTTGGAAAAACATTAAGTCTTAAAGACACCTAGGAGCCAGCTTGAAATTTATTATGAATATACTGGAAGGGATCTTCTCAGATGGCCTAGCTACAGATGGCTTAGCTATGCTTACACTGTGAAGTCAGCATCAGTGTTTTGTATTTTACCTGTTGTAAATAAGACTCAGCTTAGCATGACTCAGATTCTACTGTAGCCTTTTAACAGATTTAAGGGGATTACTTGGAGTGTTCATAAACTTTGTGGGGAGGACTTCCACCAATCATCCCGGGAAAAGTATGACAGCATTTGTGGTCAGGGCTCCAACGGGTTGGACACTGTGATGAACCCTTAACCACTGTCCAAATGTTGCCCATACCCACTCTGACTCGGTCTCTTGCCTCAGCATTCCCTAACCTGGTGACTGAGTTTTAGTCAATCAAGTTTAAATAGGCCTCCCATACTGGGACCGGGGAATGTACGGTCTGAGGTGCCTATTAAACTTTTCTTCTGCTTAGTTCTGGTTAGATGAGGTGTGGGGGGGGGGTGGGGAGGAGAGGAGGGGGAAATAGCAAAAGTCCTTTGTAAGTCTAGCAAGCTGGGTGCCAGGGTGTCATGGGGGAGATTGGCTGAAGAAGCCCCAAACAGAAAATGAGGATCCCCTAAGGCAGGAATCATGTATAAAAGGAGAAAAAACAAGTATATGCCATGCCCATGTCACTAAAATGTGGAACCGTTTGAGCCCTAAGCACCACTCACACGTAATTTCATATGTGGATGACATTTTGATACGCACCTCCACTGCAGAAATGAACAGAGAAATCACTAAGGAGGTTCACACTGTTTGCGAGCTCTTCTGGGAAATTTTAACTTCTCCAGAGAGTTCATTGAAATTTTCTCTGACAAAGCTAAGCCTCTGTACAAATTATTGAAGAAAAACAGGATTTGGGAATGGGGA